CTCTCTCTCTCTCTCTCTCTCTCTCTCTCTCTCTCTCTCACAGCTCACCCACACACACACTCGGGCACATGCACAGTGTCACCACCCCCACATACACTCCCACGCTCCCTTGGAACCACCATTGCCCACCCCCACCCTGCAGACAGGTCACCTGCACCTGACCATCCAGTGGGTGACATTATGTCTCATTTCTAAGTCCTGCAGATGAGACGACATCTACCTCCGGAGATGGAAGGAAGAAAGAGAGTTTCATCTCTAAGCCGCCCTGGTGGCCAGGAGCTGCAGGCTGCCATGGAGTGTCCATGCCCCACGCACCTGCCGGGCTGTGCACCTGCGGGCCACCTCCACCCCGTCTCTGAGTCAGTCTGTATGTGCACAGTGGGGGTGAGCACGCCTGCCTCCCAGGGACACCCAGAGAGCAGACACCCCAGCCCAGTGCTGTGCTCGGGAGCCGTCCAGTGAGGTGGCTCCTCCCCCTGCACAGCTTCCGCCTGCTCAGACTCCCCAGAGGGTCCCAAGGAGAGCGACTCCGGCCAGGCCCACCTGACCAGTGGAAGGGGTCATCGTCCTGGTGAGGCTCAGACCTCGGGTCAACACCGGCTCGAAGCTGTCTCCCCAGAAAGGAAGCCCTGCTCTGAGTCCCCTTGGAAGCCCGGCCGTCAGGGCCCCTCGCCGTCCATCTGCTGGGCGTTTTCCTCCTCCTCCCTCGGCCTAGCTCTTCACCCACCTGAGCTCATGCTCCTCCTCGCCTCAAACGCCCTTCCCGTCCTCTGGTGGCTCAACAAGGCCTTTCCCAAGGCCCCCTCCTCCATGAAGTGCCCCAAAGCCATACCCCCTTGACCCTGGTCCTTAATGTCCCCCCTTCTGCAGCCCATCTGCCCCCCTGGATTTAGGTGACCATTGGCTCAGCTAGACCTCACTCAAGGGCACGGACTGCATGTGGCAAGCACTCTGTAACCCAGAGCTGGCCTAGTGCCAGCGCACAGTAGGGCCCCTGCAGATTGCCCTGTAGAGGCACACGCACTGTGTCCTCATCTCTCCGGGAAGATGTCAGCTCAGCTTCCTCCAAAACACCCTCTTCTCCTCCCATGGCCGCCCCTTCTTCAGCTGGTATTTAAGGGTAATGAGCCCAGCACATCGGACCCCAGTGAAACGCCTCTTAAGACACCGACTCCCAACAAGTC